AAATTTTACTAATAATGGGCAGATTATTAATGAGTCAACCAGCCAGCATAATAAAATCTTGTATACAATAACATTATTAAAAGATATCAATGTTCGCAATATTCGACGATAAAAGCACATAAATTGTAAATAAAATATAAAGTTCACCTTTCTTGCTTTAACATTTGCAAATTTGACAATTAAATCATCTTTAGGTAAGGATTGAGCAATATCATTTTCAATTGATAAAATTTCCAAATTCAAAAGTTTCTCCTGAGCTAATGTTGATCTTAGGTATGTTTTTATTAATTTTAGTTTAATGAAACTGCGTTCACCTTTGGCAACAGTTACTGGAATAGTCAGTAGTATTCTGAGGGCAACCCAAGTGTTAGGAAATAAATCGCACCAGTTATTGTTCTTTTTGACAGACAGAACATCCTTGGGTTGGCCTTGGTCTTCATCTAAGAAATTCTTAAGAGTAAATATTTCTTGAGCAAGGTCCGTCCCACAAATGTCACTGCTGAAATCGTGTGTCAAAATATTTTCTAAATTTAAACAAGATTGCTTCAATTCGGGCTTATCAATTGGTCGTTTTAAATCATACAAAAAACTCTAAATTGAATTAAAATTCGATATTTGTTCGAAACGCATTTCGAAAGAATTTACAATTGTATCTATCAAAGTATAGAATACGGTGATCGTAAAATATTCTTCTGGGTTGGTTGGAGTTTCATCTTGAGATTTATAGTCGAACATTCTTCTTCTTTGTCGGGTTCGAGTTTGTTGAAACACTGGAGAAATGTCTGCTTTTTGTAATAAACTTGTCGCTAATAACAAGTCGGCCGATTCTGATTGCAAGGATTTACTAACAATATTTATTTGGTAGAGTAAATCGTACCAAATCACAAGAACGAGCAAAAATTCGTATTGATTCATATGTTCGGCGAGAGACCTGGCTTCTGAAGCTGCAACTGGATCAGTAATTTCCTCGTGTTGTTCTAGTAGTGCATCTCTGATTTCAATATATTGATACTTGACAGCTTGAAACTCTACTTTCCCAACGTGTCTCACAGACTTTTTTTAATGTCAGTATTTCTGTATATTTTGAAATTGTTTCCCACCTTTTTGTAAAAGATGAGGAAAAGACAAATAGACGTTGGATAACTCCGAACAATGAGACTGATTTAACTGAAGTTTTAGCAGCGTCAGAAGCAACTAAATTAAGACTGTGACAACCGCAAACGTTAAAAAATGACCTGGGATATTCTTTGATGATGTGGCTTTGGACACCCTTTTGTTTTCCTACCATATTTGCACCATTATCGTAGCCTTGACCTCTGCAATCATTCATATCTAGCCCATATTTCTTTAGCACCTCATCCAGAAATAAATCCGTGAGACCTTGGCCACTGGAATCCGATACTGGTGTGTATTTAATGAAACATTCACGCACGCATTTGTCATCAATATCAAAAAATCTCAATGTAACACTTAGCTGCTCAATATGACTGATGTCAGGTGTATAGTCTAAAATGATTGAAAAATATTTAGATTTTTTTAATTTCTTGATAATAGTATCCCTTACTTCGTTTCCGAGCAAATCAATGAGTTCGTTTTGAATGTTCTTGCTAAAATAATAGTTTTTTGTCTCATTATAGGCGACGCTGCGTAAATGTTCTATCATGACGGGGTCGAATTTACCTAACAATTGAATTAAACCCAAAAAATTTCCATTGTGTGGAGTGTTTATAATGTCGAAACTTCCTCTAAAAGCCAAATTGTTTTGAGCCAAGAACAATGTAATTGACAACATTCTTTCAAGTATTGCCTTCCACTTTTGTTTTTCGTCATCTATTTGTTTCATTAAATGTTGATCCACTCCAGTTTGTCTTCCTAATGCTTTTGTGGCTTGCAACCAGTTATATGTTGCTGACTGGTGATCCTTCGAAATTTCATGTTCTTGTAAAGCCAACGAAATATGAGCCCAATCATCATAACCGTTATTTGCTAGATTCGATAATGAATTTTGGCAAAATAAATTGCAATATAAGCAAAATACCTTTGCAGAACATTTTGAATAAACAAGCCACGTCCTACTATACATTTCTCCATTTAGAATTATTTTTTGGAAATGTTTATTTGAAAAATGGCGACCTTTTTCATCACGCGGGTAGTCAGCATCATTGAAAATCTGAAACTTCATGAAAAATACTCTATATTAGGTGAATTTTTATTTAATTTTATTTTTATTCTTTCTTGTAATTAATTGATAAAAATCCCCAAATTTGGTTATTTAACGAACCAACTTTAAAAACATATTTTACCTATTATTTTAATTTATTTAGTAATTTAATCATTAAAATATAAATAATCATCCAATTTTAAACAAGAATCAATAATATTTTTTATACTTTTGATAATTTTTCTATGTTTTTTTATACATTTTCTAATAGGTAAAAAAGTGACATTTTTGCGTATCTTTTCCACTTTAAATTCTTATTGTGGTATCAAACAACAAAGTTTTATTTGAATTCGTTACCTTACTCCGAATTGTGAGAAAAAAAACTTCTGAACTGAACTTATGACCAAGAATAACCGGGAATTTCGTTGAACGAAATTAATAAACACCCTGATAAACGAAAATGTCAAAAAATACAAAATTTTTGTCTGGAAGTCAGGGAAACTGACACCGGATTAGTGTTACCTGTCAGTATCATCCGCGTGCATCTGTTTGCTGTGAACGTTTGAAATTTAGGCATTTATTTAAACTCATTTATCTGGCAAAGTAGTTAGAAGTATCTGCTGCAATTTTTCATACACTTTGTTTACGTATTTAGTAATAGAAAAATGTAAAGGGATTTTTGGTTTATTTCAATGTTCGTGTTCTGTACACTTTTTTATTTTCATACAATTAGTTTCTATGCATGCTTGCCGAAATTTATGATTTAAACTGTTGAAAATTAAAAATCGTCTAATATCAACATAACACATCAAAGTTTACAACTTTTACTGTTAACCACAACAAAAAATTGGAATTGGTTCAAAAGTTTGCTTACTAGCCACTTCTGAAGTAAAGACTTACTTTTTCGATTCAGTCCACTGTGGGTATCATGGTATCCATAAAAAAACTTAATCCGCAATATTAAATTAAGATAATTTTGAATAGAAGCTACATTTTTTTCTATAATGTTATTAATTCACGGTGAGCTTGAATCAAATTTAATTGAAAAGTTCAGTGACTGCATATATTTTTGCGGATTTTAAATCTACATATTTTCAGATTTATTTTACAAGAAAGAATTATTTTTAATAAAACATAAATAAATGCTAAAATCAAATAACAAAAGGAATAAGCAAACAACAAAATAAAATGACTAAAATTGTCCATTACAATGTAATTTAAAAATTTTAAACGTTATAATAATAATAATAATGACAATAACTGTAAAGCGTTAAGCCATTATATTATTATGTTTATACAACGCGTTTATTGTCACGGCGCAGTGTGTCCCCCGATAGCACCGAACTTTACAGAAAGTTAACAGGAAGTTAACGGCGATAAGTTTGGAAGTTAACGTTGTTAACTTCCCAGAAGTTTTATTTGTCCTCAGAGTTTAAGTTAAAACTGTTAACTTGCTTGAATTTATAAAGCTGAATTTGCCGAAAGTTTTTCTTTGTAATTTTACACAAAATTTGTACGGTAAACTTAAAAATCTATTTTCATGCGCAGATGTTTTCTATGGCAGCTAGGGCTGCGCAATATTTTTTAATTACATTTCCTTATAGACAAGCTATGGATGTACTAAAATACATACATCTTGAAAAAAAATATTTTTTTTTTAATTTTGAATTTATCAGAAAAAACTTCTTACAAAATTTATGCAAACTTACTAAAAAACTTTCGGCAAATTTAGCTTTATAAATTCCGGCAAGTTAACAATGTTAACTTAAACTCTAAGGACATTTAAAACTTCTGGGAAGTTAACGGGAAGTTAACAGTGATAACTTCCGAACTTATGGTCGTTAACTTCCTGTTAACTTCCTGCAAAATTCGGTGCTATCTGGATCATGGTTGGGCCACCCACAGATTTTACAATATTATTATACGTCCTGAAATAGAAACTTCATTTTTGTATATAATATAAAAAAAGCCAAAAATGCTATTTCCATTTCAAAAATTTAGGTATTCATAAAATTTGTTAATTGTTCTTGACTTTTTCAGACCAATTTTGCGAAACGCGAGGAATAATCAAATTTCAGTGCAGAAGGCTTATTGTATTTCAATTTTAGATTTTCTTCCTCATTTTGAACTCAATTTCAGTATTATTTGTCTTTTACGAATTAATTTTCTTCATATTACATTGATTTAGTACAGTGGCCTAACCGTAAAGTCCTGGTCCGCGACCGTAATAACAATGTTTTTTTTTATAAATGTCTATAACTTTTACACTTTTGGTCTAATCATTTTCTGATGTTCAGAAAAAACATTCAACTTTTGAAAATCTTTCCATTCATATGTGAAAACATCCGAAATTAAGTCTAGAACGAAAGTTTTGGCCACAAATCAAAACGTAGCATAGTTGTCTGAAACCCGAATCTAGTTGGACAAAACTGTTTCCTCCAAATTGCTTAAATAAAATTTTATGAAATTTGTTACTCTGGGTTTTTGGGGTCGCTAATTACGAATCTAGGGTCAGTTTTCAAAAATTTAAAATGGCGGATCCAGTATGGCGGACAAAAAGTTTGAAAGATAGATGGATTTGAATGAAAGATGATATGTAAAGGTTTTTGTAAAATTAATAAAAGTGGTTTTTTGCAAAAGCCCTCCAACTATGATTTTAATTTTTCTTGTAAAATAAATTTGAGAACATCTATATTTAAAATCCGCAAAAACATTTGCAGTTACTAATCTTTTCATTTCAATATGATTCAAGCTCACCGTGAATACTGTTTATTAAAAAATGCCGTATTTTACATTTTGGATATGTTTGAAAAATGTTCTCAGTATTAAATTATTTCAGAGTGAACTTTAAAAAACTGCGTCCCAGGGCTCCACTCTTCAAAGATTCCAAAGTCTTTGAGGAATTGCAGAAGGAGGCCACAGCAGAACCTCCTTTGATCCAGGAACTCAAACGCAGCACAACTTTCCTCCAGAAGCCAGAACGACCTATACCAAAGCCAAAGTCAGCCACTGCTGAAGAAAGCACTTTAACTCAACCTCAGGAGACGTACAAAGTCGTTATAAAGAAGCAGACCAAAAAGAGCATCACGGAGCGACTCGTGGAAAAAGGTCTCTTGGAGCCAGGATGTGTAAAGTCCTCCGATCAGGGATCAGAGGTAAAAATGTTTGTGCCAAGTTGGGTTGCTGAAGTGGACACTCAGCAGTTTGCGCCTCAATCCACAAACTTTGTTAATTTTTCCGAATCCTCAAACTTGGTGAATTTCTCTGAAATAATAGACATTAACGATTCCATTGGAACCTCGAACTCGTCAAATTCCTCTGAATCCTCAAACTTTATGAATTCCCCAGAGCCATTACCCGACTCCTTGGTACCAGAAGTATCTAAATTGAATTTAAAATTACCCAACTCGTCGGAAATAGTAAACTTAACATCAGCTTCTTCTCTGACAATGGACAAGTGCGGATTGATCTTTAGACCTAAGCGATTATATATGAGGAACCGATACTTCGAAAACTGCGTTTTGAAAAAGAAGAGCACTGGGTTGAAAAAGAAGGGAGTGGGCAGCTCGAGACTTTATCGGAAAGGTCACTACGTGACGAAAATTGTCAGTTCCTTAACCCAGTCTCGTCCAAGTGGTAAATCTAAAATCAGATCTTACAAGTTGAGTATTCGGGGCCACTACGTGCAGAGATATCTGGGTCGCAAGAGCAAATGGGCAATCGAAAGGACCAAATGTGGTATTCAGAGTCTCCTTTCATCTCGAAAGGGTTCATCCAAAAATTTCCAACGAAGAGGTCGATACATGAAGCGCATTATCGCGCAATACGTGGATTCCTCAAAAGTCGTTTTTAATTCCTTGTGTGTTTCAAGCAGTTTAGAATCTCCTTCTCCCAGGTCCAGTCTCATGTCCTCGCTTAGAAATGAAATTTTTCATAGAGGTTGTAAGAGACTCTGGTCCAAATACAGAACCGAATCCGGATGGATTGATTGGCTCAAAAATCTTAGTGGTATTTCCTTGAAGGTGACGAAGAAGGTCTCTGTTCAAGGAGAAATGGTATGCAACAAAAAGCCTTTGGATATGGATAACTTGAACGATAGTCGCAGATTGTCTTTTGTCCCGACAGTTCTTTACGACGGACTTACTAATAGAATTGGAGTCGATTTCACTAGGTTTGTTGTCTACGCTTTCGTTCCCTGTGCATCAATGGTTTTGCTTTATGCGTACAAATAGAGAGAAGACGAATAACTATAAGAAACCAATCTCGAATTTTAAAATTGTGTGAAATAACAAGTAGGACTAGTGTTGTTCAGGGTCATTATCTATTGTAGTGTATCCTGAATATAGGCAAAATTAAAGTACCCTCTTACAAAACGAAACTAAGTTCTTCAACAAATTATTATCAGTCAAAAGTAACTTCCAGCGTATATTGCATCGCATTGTAAAAGAGAGAAAGTAGGAACGATGTCACTCCCGATATCATTTTAAAAGATAATTTTCAATATTTTCAGAATTCGTATTTTTTATAACATGGAAGTAGTGTAGGATATAATTTTCTAAAATGAGCAATAATTTACTATAATTGTTTTGATTAGATTTTGGTTCATTTGTAATATATTTTGTTGCGGTTATTATAACTGGAAGAAAGAATTTTAATACACAAACTTGGTTGGGTTGATCTTCATTCAGACCCACCGTGAATAATAATCAGCAAATTCTGATTCTTAGTTTTTCTCACACTTATTATAAATCACACAGTATAAATATTGATTTTCACAACATGATATATTGACAGAATATTCTAATTATGTTCTTTTTATTAGAAAACACTTTGAATTAACAAGTTTACATTTCGAAATATTCGCAGGATATTTCTGATATGTTAAAGGATTCGATCCGGCAATTTTGATAATAAATAAATCGCTCAATTTTTCATCCCAAAATTCGAGATTATGTAAAATTTTATTTTATTGTAAAACTCATTCACCTAATTATATAACTGATTTCAAAATATTACTTTATATAATTATTAAATCATTTCATTTAGATTTAGAAATCTTGTCCGTCCTAAGGCGACAAAACTACAATCATCCTAGAATATCATTAGACTAACAAACTTTAATATTGCTTCAAGATTACAAAAATTCATAGGATATGGTTAAAAAGGTATTAATTCATCTTTCCTATATTAACTTTTTCCTTTAATTTTGTGATCGGAAATTGTCTTATAAACTTGGTGTTTTCAAATGTCGATAAAATTGAAAATCTTTTACAATATTAACTAAATATATCCTTTCCGTTTTGGGAAGGGATCTACAGAAACCCAATATACATCTCTATTTCTAGAAACCCACGGATATCCATAAGACATCCGTAGGATATCTTGAATATCAGTGGAGTGCGAAGATTTTTTTTTTGGGTTCTAATAGTGATCCGACACAATTGAAATTTTTCTCACGGTTCTAAATATCTAAAAAAAGGTTAACTAAAATTATTATTATTATAAAAATTTGTAAATCAGCGACCCAAATCACAAAACAACTTTCATCTGATGCCACTTCTTAAACATGTCATTTGGTTCGAGAAAATTAGAATAACCTTAGGATTTCCATAAGACATCCTAGAGTTATTCTAATTTCCCGAACAAAATCTTATCCCTTCGACATCCATAGGATATCTTGAATATCTGGATGCTGTGAGGGTGAATACCATGGCGCACGCCACTGATGAATATTCTGATTCAGTTAGCCATCGGACTTAAGAATTTTTAAAATCGCAAATTACGTGATTACGATTTTAATGTTAGATTAGAAAATCTCATATGACTGACCTTATATAACTGCCAAAATTTTAAAAGGTTGAGTAATTGTTACAAAAAATAACTTTGATATAGTCGAAGTCGATGAAATGAAATTAATTAAGATATTATGGTAATTAAAAATATTAGATATAATTTATTATAAAATTATAACCAAATTTGTGAAACATTTTCCGATTTTTTAGCTTAAAATATTTCCAAAATATGAATATGAAATCAAGTTTCTGTTATTTAAAAAATGTATAAAAGAATAGTTCAATTAACTTGATAAATAATAATTTTTAAAAAATAGAATAATTTTTGTTTCAAAACCAATTAAATAATTGTTAAACAGTGGTAATCTGTAATTGTAAATCCTGTCTCTTATTACGATTTGTAATACGGCATGTTTCAAAGTAAGTAGCAGAAATTATACAGTAGTTTTATAGTAAAATCAAATTACAAATTTAACGAATAGTTTTATGAATACTTACGCACATTTACATAATATAGGGTAAGTCCAGGGGAGTTGGCCATAGTTTTTTTAAAGGTCTGTAAAAATAAAAAGAAAGTCATTTACGTATTAACTTTTATTGCTACTTAAACATTGAACATTTAACTTACAAATAATAATAGAAATGATAAATTTTTTAAATGCACACAATCTTAAAATGAATATTTTTTAAAAAACGCGTTTGGCCATCTCTCCCGGAATGTACGGGGGAGATGGCCATAGGCGTACGGGTGAGATGCCCAATACTTTAAAATCAATCTTTAGCTTTCGCTTTATTAAAATTTTTAATTTAAAGAAATTAAAGTCTTCTTTTCTTCTTCTGACCACATTTCGAACATTTATTATTAAATTCAGTGCAATTTTCATAAGCGCTGTCTGTCTGTCTGTCTGTCTCACCAACACAACGAGGCTACAAAGTATTTTTTTGAGATATCAGAGTGGTTTCCAATGTATTTTTATGTCCTGAACACGATTCCGGGTTCCGAAATTGCGTATCACGTCAGGATTTTGAGTAAAGTGGGGGTAAAGTATCTAAAAACAGTTTTCTTGAGGATTTTCAATATTTTTTTCTCCTTAATCTGACGTGATAGAGACTTCTATATAGGCTTAAATTAAAGCTTATATCTTACACTTTAAGACACATATGCGCAAGATAAAAAAAAGTGAATTTAAAAAAAATTAGGTTCGTCACTTAAAAAGATTTTTGGGGTCATTATCCCCATTTTTTCAAAATTAAAAAATTTTTTTTATTATGCGCATATGGGTCTTAAAATGTACATTTTAAACTTGAATTTAACCCTATATAGAAGTCTCTAGCACGTCAGGTTAAGGAGAAAAAAATACTGTAAACACTCAAAAATACAGGTTTTGGAGACTTTACCCCCACTTTACTCAAAATCCTGACGTGATACGCAATTATAAACGTTTTTAAGATTTAATTACACAATAGTGATTATTTTATTTGACCCTATTTTAATTATTGAAAATCTTTGTTGGAGTGTCTTGTTACAATATATGTCATGAAAAATGTAATTTGATACAGAATTAATGTTTATTTAGCGAACACACGAATCTCAAGGGTGCCAATAACTTAAACAGAATGGCCATCTCTCCTAATGTCAGGAGACAAATTGATACAACTAAAATTTAAATGAATAAATAAATTTTTTGAATAAATATAAAGTTATGACAAAGTTTGGGTCATGTACTTTACAAAAAAAAATGAAATTCAAAATTATTCTATAAAATAACATAACACCAGTGAGAAACATAAACTCATCACTTTTTTTCAGAACTAGTCAAAATAACAAATCAGTTTTTTACTTACTTTTTCAATATTTTTCGTAAAGTTTTTTCTTTTAATTGTGTTTTGCTATAAAACAAAGCGAATTAATCTTTAATAAGCGGTATCTAGCAGCAAATTCTATAAAATATTTGAATTGACCATCTCTCCCGCATGGCGAACTCCCCCGGACTTACCCTAATCACATTTGTTTACGTACTCCTGAATATTTTTACGTATTCTTACAAAAATTTATGTATTATTAGATATAGTTGCTCATGTTTATGCGTATTTACCTAGGTTTACGTTTATACTAACACATATTTACGTAAATTTGTAGTTATTATAGGAAATTTTAACACATAATTGGATTAATTTTTAAAATCCCCAGAAAAGTTATATCTATTCAACTTTTATTCGTGCTTAATATATTAAATACAAATTAAACATTATGAAATTTCAATTTGTCAATTTCAAGAAAAGCATGTTTATTGTAGTTGACACTGGACGTCCAAACATAAATAAAAGGCAAAATTTGACAAAAAATGCCTGTCATGTTCAAAAAAAACCCAAACCGGTAAAAAATAGTATGTAGGAACTCATTTAAAAAGGAGATATCCCAATTTCCTGTCCTACTAAACTTGAAAAGAGTGACAATGAAACATTTTGTCCGAGTGCTTGCTAACAAATTTTTTAAGTTGCATTTTTTCTGTTAATTTGCAGTTCTATTGTAAATCGAATGTCTAATTAGATCATTTTTAAAATACATGTCCTGTATCAATGTATCGATTTTATAATATTTTTGTAATAATTTTTATTATAACAATTTTGGACGGTAGATATTTACAATATTATGTTTATTTAATAAGAATTCAAAAAAAAACTTTAAGAATGTCGTTTAAATCAAAAATTATTATTCGATTAGTTATATCTTACTTGACTTTTGCTTTTTACTCCTTATAAAATGCACTTTTACAACTTCAATGTCACTCTGCTTATTGTAAATGAACAAGAAATATTTATAATGAATAATTCATTTTCAAATACAGAAAACTACACCGGCCGCAACTCCAGATCTTTGTGGAAGGTCAGATTACGGAACAGATTCCCGCCCGGAATCAAAAGCAGAAATTCGGGAATTGGCTGCAACGGACGTTGAAAGTAAGGGGCAAACAGAAATTATTGAAGTGAAAAACGCAGAACAGGAAATACGCTTCGAAAATAGGAGGGAGGAAAATTTAGAAGAAGTTGAATCTACAGAGGAGGAGTTAAATAAGGAATTTAAGGAGGAAAACCAAGAGAAAGAATTGTCGAGGAGAGAAGAGAGTTTAGTTAATGAACTTCCGTCTCTACCACAATTGGACGAGCAAAAACTGAAAGAACTTGTATCGACTGAAATTAACCTTGAAAAGCAGCTGGAAAGTGTTCAAAAGCAACTCCTGGCTTTGAAGCAACTGCCAAGTGAAATTGAAAATCATTTAAGGATTGTATCAGAACAGTTATATAAAATAATGGAACTCAGCGGCATGCGTAATGGAAGAGAAGAAAGTTGTTGTCGATGCTTGAAAGGTAAGAGCATCCATAAAATAAAACTTTTAAATGTCAAATGTTGCCTATCTTAATACTCCTTTTTCGTCAAAATTTTAATAATTGCATTTTCAAAGAAAAAAATTTTGATTTATTTGAAATATCGAAATTCTATTAAGTCAAAATTTCTAAGGTTGAAATTTTATTATTCGGAATTTTCATATCGCATTTTTGACAATTTGTATTTTAAATATGAATGAGAAATTCCCTTCCAAGTGTATATTTTGATAAGAAGTAAAATTCAATCAATGGAAGGTAAAAAAAGATAAAACAAATTTATGTTATTTTGTCAAGTTGCGACGTTTCGATGGTTTGGTTTACTATCTTCTTCAGGCTGAATATATAAAATAATATTACATTGCAACTAGTCAATGTTAAAATTTATCTTTAAAATTATCGTTAAAAAATAAAAAGTAAAAGCACTACAAAAAATTAGATACGCGACAATTTTTTGTAGTGTTTTTACATTTTATTTTTTAACGATAATTTTAAAGATAAATTTCAACATTGACTAGTTGCAATGTAATATTATTTTATATATTCAGCCTGAAGAAGATGGTAAACCAAACCATCGAAACGTCGCAACTTGACAAAATAACATAAATTTGTTTTATCTTTTTTTACCTTCCATTGATTGAATTCTCATATGAGGCATTACACCGTCCGACAAAATTCAACTTTTTTTTCACACATGAAAAGCAATGATTTTCAGAAACTAGAACCAAAAAAAAGATACTCGTGTCTGGCCGTTTTGCTATATCAGGTCATTTTTTGCTTTTAGGGGTAAAAACAGCCCTTAAATGAAAGGTGATAGGAAATCTTGTACAAATTAATAATTTTTTATGGAACCTGGTATCTCTGGGTTTTCCGGGTCGCTGATTACGAATCTGATATCAGATTTTCAAAATTCAAAATGGCGGATCCAATATGGCGGTCGAAATTTATACATGGTGGCCACTAAAAAGGGCCAAAAAATTTCCCTGACTTTTCCCTGACCATTTTTGACACATAATAAAAATGTTATTTTCAATTATTAACTATGTCAAAGCTTATTGTTTTCTCTTATAAATCATGAAATACAGTTCTAATGATGAATAAAAATATTGAATTTATTTTTTTTGCATTGATTTTTACGAGACTTAAGGTTTTATCTAGATTTTTAAATCAAGGCTATAATTTGAAATGCATAAACCGGAAAATTTTAGGGAATTTGAAAATATTTGTAATAAAAACATTTAAGTTAGTAAGTTTCTTTATTGTAAAACTTAAAATTTCAATTTTAATAAATTAATAACTTGACCTCTGATCAAACTTTTATATAACTTTACAAAGCTTTTTTTAAAGACTTAATTTTTTCATTTAAAAGCTCTTCTTCTTCTTTTGCTTTTGCAACAATATCCCTTCTTTTTTCCTCAAGTTGTTGAAGTTCAAGTGCTCGAGCCTTCTTTTCTGCATTTGCGGACTTTTCTGACGATTTTTCCTTTCTTTTTTTTCCATAAGCTCAACGTATCGGGATCGAGAATTTCTTGCAGCGAGAATCATTGACTTTGTTATAGTTAAGTTTTGAACACCTCCGACAGCAATTAGAGCATCGTATACTTGTCGCTGAGCTACAAGAGATTCTTCCTGTTGATTTTCTATCAAGCATTCCCGATTGACCGAAAACCCTCGTTCGAGATCCGCGTTTCCATGGGACAGTATTAAAATTTTCTTCAAGAATGAAGTGAACTCTGGACACTCAACACCTGCTTCTTTGATTACAGACATCCAAAGATCGTCTAGTCTGTCCTCCTTCCTTGAAAAACTTTCCATTTTACGAACAAACGTTGATTTTTCACATATTTCTTTAAATTGCTTTTCAATTTTGTCGGCTTCCAATCCTGAGATATGTTTCTTTTTAATTAAACAATTTAAAGCAATGCGTAATCGACTATCTCGGGAATCTGACAAAACTGCGACGGCTGGATCTAGGCAAGATATACCCTTCGTAAGGATATAATTCAACGGAGATCGTGCCTGCAATTTTTCGATCAACTTTTGTAAACCCTTTCGACATTGATGTTGGAATTCGAGAATTTCACGCTCGTTAACAATTTTTCGAACCTTCGATATAGCATCACGAGTTGCATAACCAATATCTACAAATTTTGATTTTAGAAGGTTTTTTTCATCAAAAACGTCAATACTTTGAACCGACTTGGTAGCGGAAATAACTTCAGTCTTCACAAATTTTTGCATTATAGTTTTAACCATTTTAGTCAAACTCTCAAACAAAAAAGGGACCAATGGTTTACCAGACTGAAATTCTGTTAGAAAGGGTTCCACTTCGGCGGCCATAGATTGAAAAAAAGTTAATTGACAGATTAATAACTTATCTTTCAATGCTGATTCAACAGTTTTGAAGCTTTTACTCTGTGGAATAGCTTTTTTGTCTTTCTTAATACCTTCAATATACTTTTCAACATGCGAAACAATAGCAATGGCTCTTTCAGTTGCTAATCCATTTTCAAGCCAGCGAACGGTACAGAATTTTCGCGGAAACAATTTCGAACCTGAATAATGCGTGTAGTCACCTCTTCGAGCTGGTGAATCTTTGAAAACATAATATAAAGCTTTAAGAAAATCGGAAGTGTACCAATCAGTAGCTTTCATCCCCGCTTTAAAAGCTCCGTTTACATTGTGGAGTCCACAAGTACCAATTTCTAGAAGCAACCGATCATCAGGATCTTTTGTCAAGCTTGCACTGAGTTCCCTTTGAAACTTATGGTTCACACTTGGCCCATCCATAGAAAGTTGGAGAATTGTTGTTGCAAAATTTATCTCTGAAAGCGACGCGGTAAATGCTTTAAGAAGATCAGCTGAAGTTGCATGATTTAAAAAAGCAGAGTTGAAAAATCTCGTTGTAACTTGGTCAGTGTCTTCTCGCCAGAACCGAACATAAAGATCCATTTGGCCGCGTTGAGCTACTTTATTTAGAGACTCGTCAAAACCAACAACGATATCAAAACACTTTTCTAATTGGGCAAGTAACTGATCGTGAAAGTAAGGACCCAAACCGTGAGTTAATAAATAAGCTAGTTTCGTGCGTTGCATTTGTATCCTTTTAGCAATTTGTGAATCTGGGAACATTAAAGGAAACAATGAAACACTTTTAGCAGCAGAACGCAAAGAATTATGTGTTTCGATAGTATGAAGAGCCCACATTATTTCGGCACGTGTAACCTCTGAGACGAGGAACGGTTTAATGTTCTGCGACGTACTTTGACTTTCCTGAATTTCCACTGAATCTTGAACTAAAACAACATTCGCTTCTGCATTTGATTTCGCAGATATTCCTGAAAGACCAGCTATCTCGGAAGTTTCAGTAGTAACAAGTGATGCTTCAATACTGTAATTTTTATTTCTTGCGTCCATAATATTTTTGTGTTTTTTCGATTTACAATGGCTTGAAATTGCTTGTTTCCCCATATTGCTGAGTGAAAAAATAGCATTGCACCAATCACATTTTGCATGATTTGGATTAGTTGAAACTTCTTGCAACCAAGGTGAGAAACTCATATCATCAAGCCAAATTTTATTGAAATTGGTTGTTTTTTTTTTACCCATATTTCACTTTAAATATATTTTTTACAACACTATAAAAAAGGAAAATTAATTAAAAAAATAAAAAGAAAAATTTGTAATACTAATTTTTTTAAATTTCGTATGTAAATATTTAATATTAAATCATGAGATATGAAACTTACTAAAAAAGAATCTGACAAACAATAGAAGCAAATATTAAACTAACTGTGTATTTTAATTATATTTTTAAAGAAAAATATAATTTAAATCATAAAAGTTCTTTGGTGAAAGGGAAACGATTTAGCAGGCATAACCTAAAAATATAAAAACTTTTCTGAAAGAAAAAAAATTGAAATTTTTATGAAAAGCATCAATTTCTAATTGTTTAAAAAAATAAAAATCTTTAACCTTTTATCAAAGCAATTTAAGATTAAAATCATATTTTTATGGCTTATTTAGTAGATAAATACCTGAAGATAGTAAATATAATCAAACGAAAATACTTGACAATATCAATATTTACAAAAGACTATTCGCCATTTTAAGCAGACTAGACTTCTTAACTCATGGCAAGCTCATAAGACATAAACTATAAAACTTCTAGAAATTGAAGTCGATATGTCAATAAGCAAAGACATTAAATAAATGGTGTTTTCGCCAATATTATAATGGAAGTGTGATTCTACCTTTAAACGCATAAGTGGAACGTCTTAAGTGTGACCGGTCTGATATTGGATACGATTGAATAATTTCTTTCATGTCTATGAACAGCACAGGGTATTTTTCCCTGACCGACAGAAAAATTCCATGACTTCCCTGACCCGATTTTTTTCCCTGACTTTTCCCTGACTTCCAGGTTTTCCCTGACCCGTGGCCACCATGTTATAAATATTAATTATTTTTTATAAAACTTTGTATCAAGTAAATTCGATGAACTTTTATAAATTTCGAACGCCATATTGAATCCGCCATTTTGAATTTTAAAAATCTGACATCATATTCGTAATCAGCGACCCAAAAAACCCCTAAGTAACAACTTTCAAATGAATTGGTAAATTTTTATAAATTTCGACCGCCATATTGGATCCGCCATTTTGAATTTTGAAAATCTGATATCAGATTCGTAATCAGCGACCTGGAAAACCCAGAGATACCAGGTTTCATAAAAAATTATTAATTTGTACAAGATTTCATATGACCTTTCATTTAAGGGCTGTTTTTACACCTAAAAGCAAAAAATGACCTGATATAGCAAAACGGCCAGACACGGGTATCATTTTTTTGGTCCTAATTTATGAAAATCATTGATTTTTTCGTGTGTGAAAAATCGTGTCGGACGGTGTTATCTAAAAAAAGCTAACCCCGAAAAAAATTTTGGGATTGGCTTTATATTTTGGTAAATTATTGTTCTGTATGAA